ATATTTGAACTTTTAGAGTCCAGAGTTTTAGTCTATCTTTCATTTGTCAAGATCATAAATTCTTGGCAAGTAAGCACAAGTAACTCTTACTTGTTGCGATAAGAACCAGTCACGTGTGATAGTGAATAACTTTCTCGCTTTAAGAAATGCAATTTCGCGAAAATGCCGCCGTTTGCGGCGACATTCGGTAAACTAACAACCGTGGCAATCCGTTTTTCTTGTTGGACAAGACGTTTCTCTATTAGTTTTTGTTTGGAAGTGTTTTCCTACAAAAGCCCACGGGAAGACGTTCCGTTCCACGTGTCCTGAAACGCAACGTGTTCGACGACGAAAACGTCAAACTTTATACGAAATCATGGGGAATCCTTCTCGAGAAACTCGTTTAGGAACCGCTGATATATCAAAAATTCAGAAGCCTATAAGTGAAGTACCGCAGTCGAATAATAAATTGCTGGAAATAGAAGAAATTGAACTTCTTATAAGAAAAAAACTGCAAGAAAAAACTTTGACTTTTGAGACTAAAAATGAACGTCGTTGAAAGATTGCGAATAAACGGCGTCTAATAAAATTCTCGGCAAGAAATTAATATACGCCACAATTTCTAGAATTAACGACTGACGTTAATACATTTTGGAAATGATGGGAAATGTTCGTAATTGTAAAAGTATTGAGTAACAATAAGTGGTCATTGGAATTGAAAATTTATCGATCATTGGGATTTTAGCCGTAATACGTGGGGAAAAAGGCGAGAGCGCGTTAAATTTGCGGGAATTATTTTGCAAGTATTGTCCGTCTGCAAATTTGCTTTTTACACGCACGCATATATATTCGTGCATCCGGCGCCATAACTTCAGCGGCCTGTAAAATGCGTGATGGAATACAGTCCGAAGCGGAAACGGATTTTTAATGTTTATTTTGGATCACATTTGCGGCGCTCATCGGCCGAAATGAGCATTTGAGCGATGATTTATAATCCGGGTCGGCGCGCGGATGAAATCGCCGACTCGTTTTCATCGCACGTGCATTTTTTCAAGCCACAAGAGCTCCGTTTCCCTCGCCCTCCCCTCATTATTCAGCGTTTTAATAGTAAAAAGGATATGATGGGAAGCGTTTAGTCGCGTCAAAGTTTACAAAAATTTTACACGTTTCATTTAATTGCCGCGGACCTTTATTTCACGCGAATTTTGCCGAGAAAACTCGACTTTTATCCCGTTCGAGTAGTCGAAACATTGCGATAAGGAAAACCGCGTTGTATGCACGCCCGAAAGTGGTATCAATTTCCATCTAAAAGCGAGAGAAATTGCGTAATGCTTGGGAGATCTTGTACACGGAACATATCTATTCGAAAGGAAACTTCCGCAATATGTTGCAATTGAGCCGCGTATCCTGTGTTTCTATGGATTTGCCGACATCCGTGGACTTACCAGCAACTACGAACTAAACTACGAACTCCGAGATGTCACGTATTAACCAATCGGATCGGTCGGCGATGTCAACGGGTTTCTCTACCCGCTGCCATGTATAATACAATGCGAGTAATTTTGAGCTACGAGTTTAGACGCGGTCACGTACACATAGGAATTACGTGAGACAAACTACGTCGGCATGTGCGTGATCGCGCACAGGATGTGCTCGCACGTTGACGTCTACGACAGGGAATGTTGCAGCAAGATGTTACGTCGGAGAAGGAAAATCCACACGCCGAACTTTCAACAATCAATGTCAATCTGTTTAATTTAACCGTAAATCTACGAATTTTCAAGGTATTATAAGGAGTAAAAGAATAAAAAGAGAAGCTATTAGATTTGAAAAATCGATTCACATCAAAAATTATCTGCAGACTGTAAATTCTGAATAATAATAAAGAGATATTTGTGAAATGTTAATCTGAATAACGATCTATAAATACAAATCCGTGATTAATTAGGCTTTCAATCGGAGATTGTAGATTATTGACAGCCGTAATGGTATCAATATAGAAAGCATTTGTGAATCTACTTGATCCAAATGTTATTTTGTTGCTCAATTGATGAATAATGTCACAATTTTTATTCAGTATCAATAACATTATATTTTAATTTTATATTAATATAACATCAATTGAAATTATCATTTAAATCTTGAAATTTTGTTCAGACAAGATTTCTTTATCGTGCACTATATCCGATATAGAGTGCGCAAGTAAATTTCGAACAAAAACCCGTATAGAAACGTCCTATACAGTATGTGTTCTGTATACAGAGCGCGTATCTGCCTGTTTCCGAACACACGCCACGTGCGTGTCGATATACATTGTCCCAGACACGCCCTCTTGCCAAAGTTAAGCCACGTATAGGGGTCTACCGCGAAACTAGGAAGTTATTGGCGACATATGCGAAAGTTCGTTTAACCCCTTCGTCCTTTCGATGAATATGCAAAAGCGGCGCCGAAACGAGCCGACGATGTTCCAATGCTCGTCGTCGCTCCAAGCGACGCGAAATTCGCTTCGCCGATGTAACGTCGATTTAGGCAAAAGAGATCGATAGTGTTCCGGGTCTTTTGAAAGGTGAACCGAATCGCTAGTTAGAGATGTGATATATGTATATAAAATACACGCTATTGCAAGGTGATCGTACTCCATCGACGTAGTCGATATTTAGAGTATATCACAGAAAATATTCAACAACTATGCTATTTAATTAAAAAATACTATAAAATATTTGATATAAAAATATATAAAATAATAAAATGTACAATATTTTGTAAATTAGAAATTTTCTGATGATATTATCTAAACAGTAAAAATAAAACTGTCAGAAAAAATAGGATCAAAATAAGTTGAAATGGATAAAGAGACTGAAACTTTAAATATTAATAGCGCGTGAAAAGTGTATAATATGTAATTCATGAAATCGATAACACTTCATATATATATATAGAAAATTAGAAAAGGTCAAACTATTCTTGCGGTACTTCTAGTATCAATACTTGTATATGCAAACTCTTTACTTGATAAGAAAAATAACAAACTTTCTAGCCTGAAAAACTCAGACCAGTTATCTTTGAAATGGTCAAAGGTAAGTATCTCTATATCAAAGGATTCTAAGTATCATTCCTGCTCTGGGAAAAGTGCAACCTCGTTTCTTCGCAAAAGAATGTTCGCGTGGCAGACACGTTCCATTTTCTTGGTCTCCGAAGAGAGACGCAACGACCCTCAAATAAAGACGAAGCCTTTTTCGAGAATTTTTATTGCGTAAAATATTTTTCACGCCTTCATCGATATTCCATTTACGGCCTCGAGAGTCACGTACACGCACACCTGTGTGCAAACATATGTGCACGCAACACATATCGAGAGTTCAGTTCAGTATGCTGTATAACAGCTATATTCGAAAGCGATCCTGCAAACCCTCAATCCGTCCAATTTTCCTATAATCCTGGACAAGTCCTTTCTCGCGGATAACCCGCCTTAGCGATTTCACCGGCTTCAAAAAAATTTACCTGGTTACAATCGTCAGAAATACGTAAGAATGTTTTAAATTTTCGGATTCTTGAAAATTGATTTTTTACAAACTACGCTACCATATCACACACACACATACACACGCGCGCGCGCGCGCGTATTCTACATTTGAATCTTTAAAATTCTAAAATCCTAAGACTTTGACATCTTAACGAATATTTGAATTATTTAAACGTTCAGAATTTTATCTTAACAATCTATTTGCATAGAGTATGACAAAAATTTTGGTAGTCGGAGCTGATTTTACATTATTTAACGTTTGATATTTGGTTTCTGTAATAAACAACTCAAGAATGCAGCGCACGTTTATTTTGCAGTAACAGATTATCAATAAAGGTATTTTGACAAACAAACGTGCTATTGATCGCCAGTTCGTAGGAATTTATATTTATGCTCATGAATATTTCATTTATATTTTTTGAATATTTGCGTGGCTTTTTCAGTGCATTACTAATAGACACAGCACGCGTGTATGTGTATTTGTTGGAATGAAATATTCGTATATTTTGATGTTGCGCAAAAATGTAATACTAAAATCGTCATATGCGGCGCAAATAATATTTTGAACGTGGGAATTTCTGTTTTTAAAATGCTTTTTACATCTATTTTTGAATTAATTTTAATTGTGAGCGTTATGTCACGTTTTCATAATTAATAACTTATCATTTTACATTATCTTTCACAAGATTATCAATTGTATCAATATCCAGCGATCATTAAAGTATGCGTGACACTTAACGCACATAATTTACGGATTATAAGCAAGATGGAGAAAGTGTAAGAAGCCCTGCAGCGCAACGCGTCATAAATGTGTGCGCACGTAGCGAAGTGCTAACTAGCGCCGCGACTTACTTGTTCTCCACTTCGCTCCCTTTCCTGCCATTATTATTATGTTTCGGAGAAATTAGCCACACGCTTCGTGCAAGATAATGATTTCTTTGCCGTTTTCTTCGTTTTCCTCGTATTACGTGACTGCACAAATAAAATAAAATTCGAGACGGCCGAAAAACTTTGAACGTGAGCGAAAAACATTTTTGCTCTAATCTGTCCACTAGCCGCCACTTTTCTCCTTTCCGCGATCGCTATTACCTCCTCCCCTTCTCACCTCCCCCCCCTCCAACCGAGCGAGCTTTCTGTGCGGCTCATTCATGAATATGGAAAATTAGACTTTTCGACGCTTGGTACGCCTCTTTTTTACCATTGCAAATTGATTCCGCAAATGGTGCGTGCAGAGTGCTGCGGTTAATTCGAAGAAAAAAGAGAACGGATTTCAAAAAAGGCTCGCGAGATTAAAATTCGATTTTGGAATAAGTATAAGCAAGTGATCGGGTTACAGAAAAGTTTGCCACGCTGTTCCGCGGCAAACGAAGTTCATCATTTGCAATATCTTTATGTTTATTAAATTATTAAAACCTCCAAACTTGGAATTCTATCTTTGGTTTTCAGCTTTTGAAATTCCATTCGATTAAATTAATTGGATTTCATATAATACACTTACCCCGTTTTCACGAAGTTCGCGAAATACTGCATGATGCTTTCCGAGAGTGCTACTTCCAATCTTGTGTAGTTTTTCGGAAAATGGCCAAATCCTTCTACCCACAATGGCGCTCCGAAGACGAATGGAAGTTCTTCGCCGTGCACCGAGCCCATTTTCTGTAAACAAAACAAAAATAAAATAAAGCATCTTTCATAACAATTTTTATGACATCTTTCACGTGTAAATAACAAAAATCGACGTACAACAAAAATACAGCTGAAACTTTCAACGCAGAGTAACGGAAATCTAATTGTTAGAGTTTTACATGAAAACGGACAGAGGAATTTAACATTAATTAAAGAGAAGTCGCGGAACGTATGTTGAAATTATTAATCGCAATAGATTACGCAGCCGATAGATAAAAATGATGGCGTTTTTCATTGGTCTACTTTAATTGCACGGGACGCAGACTATAAATCAGAAATGTACCGTTTAATACCCAGCTGGGATTTAGAAATGGTCGTCGTTGGCGCGAGCTTATCCGCAAGCTCGATCATCGCGGACACGTCAGATGCGATTCAATTTCTCCAGCGTCTTCGCCAGAGAATTACGACGTTCTAGCTGAAATGTTCCAGCTGACGTTGGCCCTCCGTCGAAAATGAACGAAATATTCGAAGATAAAAACATAAGTTGTAGTTTTTAATTAAGAGTTTTTTTTTTTTAGCACCCGTGTGTCTTGCAATTATTAAATCGGAGATCGAACACACATTAATATTTTAAAAATAGAGGATCACTGGATATCTTCCAGATATCATAGACTCATGAATCTCGGAACCTACGAATTCGGAGATACCAGACTCCGGAATTGATCTGCGGCGCAAGTCCGCCGTACCGAGGAAGCTATCTGTTCCAGCAAGCAGTGGAATGGAATCGGCGATTCTAAGGCGATTACGTACGTACACGTCCGTGCCGAATGGCGCACGAAAGGGCATTTGCCAAGTAGACGAGCTTAGTTCCGAATCGGTAGTGCAACGGGTTAAGATGCCTCTTCCACCAATAGCCAGTGGGCGAGAATGAAAACGACAAGTCGGGGCAAGGGAGAAGGATTGAGATAAAGAGAGCAGCATTTCTTTGTCTCAAAGTAAATTCTTTAAAGAGTACATATGTATTTTTAACTTGAAATAGATAAATACGAGAGTGGAGTGGATAACAATTAAAGCTTACGGCACACAAAAATGCTTTCGTGCAGTGTTTTATTTTACGTTAAAATATAGATTTGTATCTTCAATTTACTACCTTCAATTTACTATCTTCAATTTACTATATTGAATTCTGGTAAGTTACTGTAGACCAAGCGTGGTTAACCTTGGCTCCGGAGCCTCAGCGTTTGTTTCCTTTTACTCCTTCCCCATCTCACTTCGCAAGACAGGAAAGGAGGGGAAGCGGTTGTGGTTTCGGAGCCGAAGTTGACCATGTCTGCTGCAGACGATGTTCCAAAATCTAATATAAAATACAAAAATAATATAAAAAGGATGAACTCGTGAAAATTAAAATTTGAAATACGTAAAAATATGTATATTAAAGATAATGCAGATTAAGAATTTTACCATATATGAAATAATATAAATTAAAACACATATATGAATACATCATATCAAAATAAGAAAAAAAAGTAAATAAAAAGTACAGATGGAGAAAGAGTAGGACAATGAAGGTAGAAAAAGAGAGAGAGAGAGAGAGAAGGTAAAATATGTAACACAGAAACCCGAATCCAAAATGTTCGTGTTGCGTATCAGTCACTGTCGGAACGAATCCGGAGCTTTATCGAAGTTGTTTCGCCAACTAGATTCCGTCATTGTCGAGAGCACCAGCTAACCGACAATATACGACTACTGATACCATTAATTTCATTAAGGTACATCCAGTTTGCTTGGAACCTACGGCGATGCGGTAGCGAGTAATCGATGCGCATCGATCGGGAACAAAACCCGATCGTTTAAATAAGTTGGGATTTTTCTTTCACCATCGAAGTGGTGTGATGAAGTTAGCAAAAAACGATAGGTATTGTTAGATATTATAAAAGCGCGTGGAAAAGACCAGCCAGAAATATTAGCAATACAAAAAAAAATAAAAAATAAAAAAAAAACAATGCGCCGTTCTACAGATTGTGTAGAGTAGAAATTCAAACAAATTTTTTTTGTAAATTAATTTGAAAAAAAAATGCCGGTAGTGTGCCAATGCTGACATTGTGCTCTTTCAACGGCAAATTTTAATTGCAAAATACATTTACAGTCTTGATTGCTTTTTATAACAAGATTAAAGCTAGAGTTATATTGCTCCTTTTTCCTTGTCATTTAAGCATAAATGGACTAATTGTTGTATGCATATTAAACACGAACATTTTATCATTGTGTGCATATCGCACACAGCGCACATTCTTTGACTTCGGAGATTTTACGAGTCACAAAAGCATTTGAAATTGTATTATGGAATATTCAACCATCGCGCGACAATCGAACGTTATAACCATACGTTGCTCTGATTACCAGTGAATTCGTTGAGCCCGGGAAATAAATGGCATTCGGTCTGATCTTCTTTGAGAATGGATTTTCAGCGATTTGTCCGGCCTTTTCGCGTGACATAATAAATCGACGCCGATGACCTCTCCGCGCTTGCGAAAAGCTCGAAAATTGGCGCGGGCGTGAAATTAAAACGAAAAAAGAAAGAAGCGAGGGGAAAGAGAATAGAGCGCGTTCACGTCGCGCTTTCAACCCTTTTGGCACGGATCTCGCGGCCGCCCCGTAACTTTTAGTTTTTATTCTGCAGTTCTTTTTTCGCTCCAATTTCACTCCCCTTTTCGGCCTCAAGTCCGTCCCGCCGTATGCGCGCACGCTCGGCTGCCATAAAGTCGACTTCCGGCGTGTCTGGCATCGACAATCGCAGTCGCGGGTGCAATGGCCGAGCAATTTCACGGTTTAACACCACAAATGGAAGACAAGCTCTATGCACCAAGTGGTGGGAGAACGATGTCGTTCAACGAGAAAATTTGCCCCGACTGTTCACTGATTGTTCTACCGAAAATTCAATCAGGCCGAGCCAAAAGAAAGCGAAAAAGAATCGTGGAAACCAAACGAGAAACCAAGGAAAATCGAGAGAAAGCCAATAATTTCTTTTTAAAAGATAACTATCTTGCACGTATTTTGAGAATATGTGACCCAATAATCCATGATATTTTCAAGTAGCGTAATGTGTATTTTGTGATACGTTTATTACAGTTTCAATCTGGAGCTTTTCCCTCCCCCCTGCCCCCCTTCTTTGCACACATGCGCGAATGTGCAGATTGTCGCCGAATACAATGTTGTTCCGACTTTTAAGAAATTATTCCTCTTCTTCATTGCTTCACTGGCAGAGGAAGGGAAAAAGAAAACGGAAAGGGGCGGGCATTGTCGGTACAGAAGAACGCTTTGAGTTCTGCTGATCCACACTGCTGGAACTTTGTAGCGGGGATGTAACCGGGAAACGGGGAAAAACAATTCCGCGAGAAGGGTCGGTGCGACAAAGGCGAAAAGAGAGATCGGTTAAATGTCGAACGAGAGAAAACGCTGGCATTGCTCTCCGTTATTAAAACTCTACATTTCCGCCCGTGTGTAACGCTAACGACTCTTCGAAAGCGCGACTTTTATTTTTTTGTCTCTTGATTAATTAAGCGAATGAGAGATAGTTGTATTTTTCACACAGAAATTACAGATATTTATAAAGCATGTCAGTGAATTGTATATTTTTTTTCTCATTAACAATTCCTTTTTTTGTTTTACTTCTTTTTTATCTTCTCTTTCTTCCTCTTCGTCTATTCATGCTCAATTCGCCACGGAACTCTCTCTTTTGGGGTCGGAAGGAAGATTAAAACATATAGAATTCTCTTTTATCGCTGGCGTTTGTCGCTTATTTGCCCAGCATCATCTAGTGCGAAGTATTCGTCCGGCATTACGCGTGCAAAATCGAGTAGTAAAAGTCAGTCACTAATCCGGCGAGTTCGTAGACGCGCAAGAAACGCGGTGTTAATGCTGCATCTTGGCTGAAAGCGGCTCCTGCGCCACATAACGACTCCTTTGTAACAACGTCGGTCTTAACTGCTATGAAACGACGTCGACGATGAGGAAGACTACGGCAAGCCTGCGTCGAATTGTGTAACTTACTCTCATGCTTCTGCGCGTCTCTTTTGCGAATGCGTTTGACGATTTTGTTATGACGGCTAATAATTTCATCATTTCTCTATTCTTTACGATTCTTTATTAATTCTCTACTATTTTCTGAAAAAAATGTTCTGAATTTTATCTGAGTTTATTATTTATTCAAAATTCTTTCAGTTTAACTTTCTTTCTTCAATTTATTTAACATAAAAAATAGCCAGACTCAAGAATATCTCTACATTCGGACGATTCGTTCGACAGTGCTATATATTACTCTATATTTGCTATAAGTAGCTTTCAGCTTGACACGAGCTGGTATCATATAAGCTGACCATAATAAATGAAAACATGGAAAAACATTCTGATTTCGGTAGTACGAGAAAGCATGAAATTCTACGATGTAATCTCGTTGACGCGATTGGACCTCCGGCCTTTTCGCGTTCACCTTCACCTCAACCTCTCCAACTCTTGGATACCGGCAGGATTACGGCAGACATTCCTGACGTTCCGCACATGCCGGCAAATTTCAATTCGTGCTTCGGTTAAACCGCGTCGTCGTAGGAAGCGACAGTACGGAGCGTCATCGAAAATAACACCGCCATACGCATTGATTGCAATGAGTCCGCAAGATGATTCCTATTTAGCTACGATAAAAAAGATTCTTCCTTTTATTTCCCAATTATTTTAAATTGAAAAATAAAAGTGCGAGAAAACAAAACTTACGACGTCACATAATACAGGGCGTTCGAGCGAAAATGTAAGAATTATATAAATATATATTTTTCTGATTGGCAAAAAAAATTATGGAATGAAATACGCAACAAAAGATTGGCAGATAAAACAAGTTGATGCGGCTAATTTCACAATTTGCGCTGAAAGATTGGAGGAATGAGAACTATGTTGAATCGGATGTTGAAGAACACGCGGTCTAGGTGTGGTATACGAACATTGCGGCCGCTAATTAGCATTCGGTCTAATTTTGATTA